AATTAATGGTATAAAATGATGTTATAGTTCAAGTTGAACAGAGTGGTGATGTCTGGTGTCATCTCGGGATGACACGTCTCCGGACGAGACACATTTAGGATGACACCCTCCTCGGATGAGCGTTACGAAATAAATTTTTCTTTCTAAAATTGAAATTAATGGTATAAAATGATGTTATAGTTCAAGTTGAACAGAGTGGTGATGTCTGGTGTCATCTCGGGATGACACGTCTCCGGACGAGACACATTTAGGATGACACCCTCCTCGGATGAGCGTTACGAAATAAATTTTTCTTTCTAAAATTGAAATTAATGGTATAAAATGATGTTATAGTTCAAGTTGAACAGAGTGGTGATGTCTGGTGTCATCTCGGGATGACACGTCTCCGGACGAGACACATTTAGGATGACACCCTCCTCGGATGAGCGTTACGAAATAAATTTTTCTTTCTAAAATTGAAATTAATGGTATAAAATGATGTTATAGTTCAAGTTGAACAGAGTGGTGATGTCTGGTGTCATCTCGGGATGACACGTCTCCGGACGAGACACATTTAGGATGACACCCTCCTCGGATGAGCGTTACGAAATAAATTTTTCTTTCTAAAATTGAAATTAATGGTATAAAATGATGTTATAGTTCAAGTTGAACAGAGTGGTGATGTCTGGTGTCATCTCGGGATGACACGTCTCCGGACGAGACACATTTAGGATGACACCCTCCTCGGATGAGCGTTACGAAATAAATTTTTCTTTCTAAAATTGAAATTAATGGTATAAAATGATGTTATAGTTCAAGTTGAACAGAGTGGTGATGTCTGGTGTCATCTCGGGATGACACGTCTCCGGACGAGACACATTTAGGATGACACCCTCCTCGGATGAGCGTTACGAAATAAATTTTTCTTTCTAAAATTGAAATTAATGGTATAAAATGATGTTATAGTTCAAGTTGAACAGAGTGGTGATGTCTGGTGTCATCTCGGGATGACACGTCTCCGGACGAGACACATTTAGGATGACACCCTCCTCGGATGAGCGTTACGAAATAAATTTTTCTTTCTAAAATTGAAATTAATGGTATAAAATGATGTTATAGTTCAAGTTGAACAGAGTGGTGATGTCTGGTGTCATCTCGGGATGACACGTCTCCGGACGAGACACATTTAGGATGACACCCTCCTCGGATGAGCGTTACGAAATAAATTTTTCTTTCTAAAATTGAAATTAATGGTATAAAATGATGTTATAGTTCAAGTTGAACAGAGTGGTGATGTCTGGTGTCATCTCGGGATGACACGTCTCCGGACGAGACACATTTAGGATGACACCCTCCTCGGATGAGCGTTACGAAATAAATTTTTCTTTCTAAATTGAAATTAATGGTATAAAATGATGTTATAGTTCAAGTTGAACAGAGTGGTGATGTCTGGTGTCATCTCGGGATGACACGTCTCCGGACGAGACACATTTAGGATGACACCCTCCTCGGATGAGCGTTACGAAATAAATTTTTCTTTCTAAAATTGAAATTAATGGTATAAAATGATGTTATAGTTCAAGTTGAACAGAGTGGTGATGTCTGGTGTCATCTCGGGATGACACGTCTCCGGACGAGACACATTTAGGATGACACCCTCCTCGGATGAGCGTTACGAAATAAATTTTTCTTTCTAAAATTGAAATTAATGGTATAAAATGATGTTATAGTTCAAGTTGAACAGAGTGGTGATGTCTGGTGTCATCTCGGGATGACACGTCTCCGGACGAGACACATTTAGGATGACACCCTCCTCGGATGAGCGTTACGAAATAAATTTTTCTTTCTAAAATTGAAATTAATGGTATAAAATGATGTTATAGTTCAAGTTGAACAGAGTGGTGATGTCTGGTGTCATCTCGGGATGACACGTCTCCGGACGAGACACATTAGGATGACACCCTCCTCGGATGAGCGTTACGAAATAAATTTTTCTTTCTAAATTGAAATTAATGGTATAAAATGATGTTATAGTTCAAGTTGAACAGAGTGGTGATGTCTGGTGTCATCTCGGGATGACACGTCTCCGGACGAGACACATTTAGGATGACACCCTCCTCGGATGAGCGTTACGAAATAAATTTTTCTTTCTAAAATTGAAATTAATGGTATAAAATGATGTTATAGTTCAAGTTGAACAGAGTGGTGATGTCTGGTGTCATCTCGGGATGACACGTCTCCGGACGAGACACATTTAGGATGACACCCTCCTCGGATGAGCGTTACGAAATAAATTTTTCTTTCTAAAATTGAAATTAATGGTATAAAATGATGTTATAGTTCAAGTTGAACAGAGTGGTGATGTCTGGTGTCATCTCGGGATGACACGTCTCCGGACGAGACACATTTAGGATGACACCCTCCTCGGATGAGCGTTACGAAATAAATTTTTCTTTCTAAAATTGAAATTAATGGTATAAAATGATGTTATAGTTCAAGTTGAACAGAGTGGTGATGTCTGGTGTCATCTCGGGATGACACGTCTCCGGACGAGACACATTTAGGATGACACCCTCCTCGGATGAGCGTTACGAAATAAATTTTCTTTCTAAAATTGAAATTAATGGTATAAAATGATGTTATAGTTCAAGTTGAACAGAGTGGTGATGTCTGGTGTCATCTCGGGATGACACGTCTCCGGACGAGACACATTTAGGATGACACCCTCCTCGGATGAGCGTTACGAAATAAATTTTTCTTTCTAAAATTGAAATTAATGGTATAAAATGATGTTATAGTTCAAGTTGAACAGAGTGGTGATGTCTGGTGTCATCTCGGGATGACACGTCTCCGGACGAGACACATTTAGGATGACACCCTCCTCGGATGAGCGTTACGAAATAAATTTTTCTTTCTAAAATTGAAATTAATGGTATAAAATGATGTTATAGTTCAAGTTGAACAGAGTGGTGATGTCTGGTGTCATCTCGGGATGACACGTCTCCGGACGAGACACATTTAGGATGACACCCTCCTCGGATGAGCGTTACGAAATAAATTTTTCTTTCTAAAATTGAAATTAATGGTATAAAATGATGTTATAGTTCAAGTTGAACAGAGTGGTGATGTCTGGTGTCATCTCGGGATGACACGTCTCCGGACGAGACACATTTAGGATGACACCCTCCTCGGATGAGCGTTACGAAATAAATTTTTCTTTCTAAAATTGAAATTAATGGTATAAAATGATGTTATAGTTCAAGTTGAACAGAGTGGTGATGTCTGGTGTCATCTCGGGATGACACGTCTCCGGACGAGACACATTTAGGATGACACCCTCCTCGGATGAGCGTTACGAAATAAATTTTTCTTTCTAAAATTGAAATTAATGGTATAAAATGATGTTATAGTTCAAGTTGAACAGAGTGGTGATGTCTGGTGTCATCTCGGGATGACACGTCTCCGGACGAGACACATTTAGGATGACACCCTCCTCGGATGAGCGTTACGAAATAAATTTTTCTTTCTAAAATTGAAATTAATGGTATAAAATGATGTTATAGTTCAAGTTGAACAGAGTGGTGATGTCTGGTGTCATCTCGGGATGACACGTCTCCGGACGAGACACATTTAGGATGACACCCTCCTCGGATGAGCGTTACGAAATAAATTTTTCTTTCTAAAATTGAAATTAATGGTATAAAATGATGTTATAGTTCAAGTTGAACAGAGTGGTGATGTCTGGTGTCATCTCGGGATGACACGTCTCCGGACGAGACACATTTAGGATGACACCCTCCTCGGATGAGCGTTACGAAATAAATTTTTCTTTCTAAAATTGAAATTAATGGTATAAAATGATGTTATAGTTCAAGTTGAACAGAGTGGTGATGTCTGGTGTCATCTCGGGATGACACGTCTCCGGACGAGACACATTTAGGATGACACCCTCCTCGGATGAGCGTTACGAAATAAATTTTTCTTTCTAAAATTGAAATTAATGGTATAAAAT